TTGGACATGTTGGGGGGGTACCCCTTGGTCTCATTTCTTGCTGGGCATAGAGATCATGGTTTTGGCACCATGCGATGGTGGTATAATGACTCCATAGCACTTCTGTGCAGAGTCTGTCATACGTCATTATGGTTGTACAAGCACCCTTGTCTTTCCTTTGATAATATGAGGATGTCTCTACAACTTGGGTGCCTTGTGACATAGTTCTCGGAGAAAATCCATGTTGTTGAACTTCAAATTTGGAGAACAGGGATGCAAGCACACTACAACCCCCTGGTAACAGTCCCTGATAGTAAATTTTCATTTGACTACAAGTTACATCAGTTGTAACAGCCAATCCGACGCATTCCTATTTCAATGTATTATCTAATGGTGAGCAAATTTGTTCTTTTGCACAAGCACACTTAAACAGGTTGGGGCCACTCTTTTTCGAAAACGATTACTTCTATTCACTATCAATGTGACTGGCTCACTGCAAAGATGTCTATGTTTGCCCAAATTTTGAAGCAACATCCAAGAACTTAGGCCCAGTTACATCAACGCCTCATAAGCACCCCTTTTGACTACGGCAGTTTGTTTTCTGAGGCTCCTGGAAACTTTCTCACAATGTTTGCAGCATCCACTAACAGCAATACTTCTCTGTGAACTTTTCTCTGGTGAGGGGCTTAGTTTACCATGGCAACCCACGCAGATAAGCAAATTCTGGCCGGGACACTTTTTTGTATTCTTGGAAGCACGCAACTTCAGCCATTGGCGAAACTGCTGGTCCTAATGGACAAGGGCCAGGGATAGCTCGACAGATTTTTCATCCTAACGCCAGAGTGCTACTGTCCAACCCCCCAACGATGACTGGAATCCCAGCAGTACATCAGTCAACCACGCATCTCATCTGTTATCGATTTCATCTCTGCTGTCTTTGACTTGTACATCAATCCAACAACTGATGTTAAATGACTTTGTCTATGTATAATGAAGCCATCAGAACCGGCAGTGTGCGAGTACAGTACAGTACCTCCCAAATCAAAGAAAATCGAAGAAGTCCAGAGACTGTCCCTCAGCCTTCATGTGATCAATCACGTACTTAATTATCTATTTAGTGGCAATGACCTGAGCATGCCATCTTCAGAAATCACTCACAATACTCTAGAAAGGGCTTTACGCTTGACATCTTACTGTGACATGCAAAAATACATCATGCTTGAGGTAAGCCATTATTGCTTTTTTCTTCCTTCATATATACCTCCATGTACATGCACATGTATTTTATTCCACAACTGCACATCTCGACATGAGTTAATGGGGAGAAAATTGAAGGGCCTCGTATTTGCATAAGCCTTTAACAGCTGTGATGTTTTATTTATGTGATTATTGAGCACAGCCTCCGACTCATATCCCACACCACCATCACATACGCATTACCCTAGTGTGACATTACACCTAAATGTACATGTATTTCAATGCTACATAGGCCAAATTATTTGTGTTGGTTAACTTCATGTGGTTAGGTGTTTTACTCAATACTCATACTTGACAACTTCATGTACCATGGCTGCTTTTACTGACGTCTCCAATTTTGTTTCCTTTGACGACTTCAAAATATTTGAGCATAAATGCAGGCAATTCACGGCTTCAGTTAAGTGACAAAAGATGGCAATTGTTTGCTCTCATAAACGATGATGTCTTCGTGGCCCTCTAAGTATTTGAAGATGTGGGACAAACGTCTGTCTGATTCTTCCACATTTCAACTACATGTATTTCCATTTCTTGTTAGGAATGGTTGCCCTCCCCACATTACATGAGCCTGTGAAGAGATCATCACGTCGCAATACTGGAAGCAAACTTGCTTACAGAAACAATTGAGCCAACTAAAGTTCATTCTACGGAATTATCAATTCAGCAACCATTGGGTTCTACTTTGATGTATACACGCACAGATACATATCGGGCAAACCCTGCTCAACATAATTTCCCTATTCGTGAATGTACAACTTTCTTTTCATTAATAATTCATCTCGGTGACTTTGCATAATACATTGGACCCTGAGCAATGCTAAGAAATCAAGTGGGAAATCTGCTTTTTTGGGGGGGAACCAGTCTTTACCTCTTGAGCATTCATTCAAGGAGCCACCTCCTCACGAACGGTGACGTCATCTTGCCAATTCGTCAGTGGCCCTCGAAGTATTCAAAGATGTGGGGAAAACCTCTGTCTTATTCTTCCGCATGTTTAAAATTAATTAACCTATTCCAAGTTGCCATTTCAACTTTAATTATTGTGCATTACATGCATTTCCTTTCTTTCATTGGTGGTAATAAAGTAAAAACTTGTACTATACACATGTACATGCACAGTTGCTGTCATACATGTACAATGTACTTTGTGCCAATGTTTATTCAGTCGATGTTTGTTTTCCCTATGTGAAACATGGAACAGTTCATTTATCTATTTCGTCATGCATACACCAGGGTACTCGGTTAGGACTTAGAATTTTTTCGCCCTCTTCCCGTTCACTTTGTGCACAAATCCCCAAACCCCATTTTACTATAGAAAATATGGCACCCTCTCAGGCCACGTTGCCACCTACAGGTAGCCACCAACCGGGTACTAGATTTGGACTTTTTCCACCTTCTTCCTGGAGTCACTCCCATCCGACGTGATATTGTAGCCAGTGATTTTAGGGGGTACATTCGCGCGTGGCACTGCATTCTACAGTTATATGTACTCCCCGATATCAGCTGAATCCTCACACCCCTAAATTAGCATCCACTCACTACAGTGTGTCATTTTAATCACTGACAAAAATAGTGCCCTCTTTGGGCCACGTCATTCTTATTCCCCTCGTATCCCAGTAGCCTCTAACCAGGTGCTTGGTTACAACTTGAATGTGAGTTCCCATTGGCTTTGTGCATATGACAGGTGAGCCCAAGGAATGTACCTGCTCATTTACACTGTCCAGACAAATCCTTCCTCTTGGTAACTTATCTCAATTCCAATTCATATACACAGCCACCAGCAGAATGCTTTGCTTTGTACTTGTAAATGTGGCTTATTATTTAGTGGCAGGGTATTCTGCAATTACTTCAAATTTAGCAACACCAGACAAAGTTTTATGCCGGCAAAACAAAACAGGTATTCCTTACCACTTGCATTTGGAAGTTACATGAATACATACATCACCACACTTCATGTCTGCATGCTTCTCTTGTTCTTCTAACTCAAGCTGGTCCTTGCCATTCTTTGCATGAGACAGGTATCGAGAGCTGGGGGGGGAACCCAACAACACAAACTCTGACTGTTAATAACTCAGGTCAAATGCGAAGTCAACATTGCATTTGTTCAAGGTTTGCATAAAGAAAGGCACATATTTCAGTCCTTACAACATGGAGGCAAACAGGAAGGTAACTAAGGCAAGCCAGAATTCGAAGCTGTTATCGGTTGGCTGGGAAATTTGTGAAGTGATTATTGGGTACTCAATTCCTGGAGGAATCAATTGCTGACCAAAGAACTTGGTATGTATTCCTGGTCTCCACTTATATACCAAACCCTGCGGCCAAAGCCACAGTGAAAAGTCCTTTAGACATTGCACACTGTAGTTTATCTTGGTATAACCAGGGATGAGATTCTAAGAAAATGAAAAAAGGGGAAATTTGCGAGTGCGCAGCGCGAAGACCTTTACGGCACGGGGTCCTGGGTCCTGCTTAAGGGCCCCCAGGAAAATTTTCAACTTTTCCTCCCAATTTTAGCCTTGTTTCATATCTGTGTGAGCACGTTGACCGTGTGTACCTAAACTACACATGAACGTATGGCATCGCATGGCACAACACAGCGCTTTGAGGTTGATGATTTTGAAGCACTTAGGACAAAATAAAAATGATGTGACACATGGAAGGTAAGCAATGAGAAATGCAATTTTATTTTTTATCTATTTCATTTTATCATATTTGATACCTGGAAGTCGAAAATCATCTTGATGAAATGGGTTGCAAAAGTTTAAAATATCAGAATTTCTAAGCTGACTATCAACAGTATCAGACACTCCAAAAAGGAGGAATTTATTTGCAAAAGCGGATTTTCAAAGTCCCCAAAGTGGAAATCTGCCAAAAAAGCGGAAGAATCTCATCTCTGTTTAACAAAAACTTTGTATTATCCGGAATGAAACAAATGAAAGACAATGGACTGGAAATTAAAACTTCCTTGTTGTAAGCAGAATGTAAAAGTAACAGCGCTGTTATTAACATGGTTCATACATGTATGCATTCATTCTGACATACTTCGTGACAGGGCGAGATAATGAATGTTGGGATGACAACAGGCCTCAGCAGGTGTTTGGAGTTTGGCTTTATGAAGTCAATTGATTAATCAGCACTAAAAGCACGAGACCAGCTCGTATCCAATGACATGAAAATTGCATAACTATGCTATCAAATGCAGAGACCTTTCTCCCATTGAATACTACAGCACGTTATGTTTTTGGGACCTGGGTGTCCTTTTATTGAATGCTGCGGCCCCTCAGTGCAATTCCACTTATGCATCAATCCTCACCTTTCTCCAGACATGATGTTCATTATTACATGTCAGTGCACTGTCTTGTTACGTCCTGACTTCATCAATCCTGTCACCTCCATCTGTGATCCATGATGTTCCTGTGGCTCAGGGCGAGGAAGAAACTGAAATTCCAACAAGTCAACTTACTCATTAACTTTTGACAGGTTAAATTGGGGGTGAAATAACTTATTCCATGGTAGTCTCCAGAAGTTAAAAAAAGATTTGGAAAATCAAATAACCCTGAAAATTAAGGGGTTTATCTTTCACTCATAGACAGCACAACCAAAGTTGTGCAAATGTGGAGAATATGCCAAAAAAAAAGTAAACCAAGAAAATTTGAAGACCTGTTTGAATCACCAGTATAAAGCATGTAGAGAAATCTGCAAAGATGACAGTACCCCAACATCAGGGGACTTGGTCAGAGAAATGTTGGCCAGTTTCAGGAATATTAGTCATGTGACTATGGCAGCAACCGGACTGAATGATCTCTCAAAACAGTTATTTTTTGGGGGGGTCTGCGAAGTGAACTACATGTAGACTTACTGGCATGTTCATGGAGCTTGTAGTCCCTACATACACGTACATGTAGGGTTGGATTTATCATACGAACCAACTCTACATGTATATGTTTCACCCATTTCACTTTGCCCATTTACTACTTCGCACCCAACTATGTGTACTTCCCCCCACCCCTTTCCCATTTTGCCTACACACAGGCACCACTTCACACATGTATGTGCTCTACTGGTACTCTTTAAGACTTTAAAAATAATTACAGACTTGAAACGTGAAAAAGGCCTCAATCAAAATGCCTCACCCCACCAAAATAATGCCTGTCACCAAGTGAAAAGTATCTTTCCATGCATTTACGATCTACGTGTATAAACACAGCAGAATTTTAGTTCTCCACGGAAGTAAAACAATATCATAATACATGTACCTGTATTCTTACGGCTAGCATTTACATGTACACGAGTGTTGGGTTGGGTGTGATCAGTCGATCTGCATGATCATGCATTTGCACTGCACTATCAGTCAATCCTGTACGAAATCGTCAACTTTACTTTCCTTTTTTTTTAAAAAACAATTCTCCACTACGGCAAATTAGAAAGAAAAAACGATCAGATGAGAGAGGAGTTACCAGTAAATTATGCAATAAAACTGACAGACTGCTAAGGTCGAGCCGTCACACACACTGAATGATTGAGCCCAACACATCATATATCGGAGTTCAAAGTAACATACATGTATATTTTTTAGCAGCCTATTTGTATGTAATATAAAATTACTGAAATTTGCAGCATAAAGTGTTAACATTATAATGAAGGCTTAGCTACATGTAGTAGACTACAGGTACCAGCCTGGTACTCTTCATAGACATAAAGTAACACATTGTACATATGTACTTGTACATGTGTGAAGCGGCAAGTGGGTGAAGTTGCCATTTGGGCAAATCAGTAATTGGGTGAGTGGTTGTGGGTGAAGTGGTACGTGTAAATAGACAAAGTGGTCTGGTGGTGAATGGAAGCGAATCTATTCACACTAGCCCTTTTCAAACTACATGTACTCTGGACTTACCCGGGTAGACACTTACCCAGAGAACTGGTTTCACACTACAACTGGTCTACAATCTACATGCACTGGTAGCAGTGTTTGACCATGGTGACACTGCCATCTACACATCTACCCCTCCCCCACACGTCAGCGATAGGACCTAGGGGAAAAAAGGTACAACACTTCTCTTTCAGCTACATCCCTGACATCAATTTTTTGGTACAGAGATAATTTGCACTTAGGGCAGTTTCATGGGAAAGGTTGCAAAATGAAAAATTGGATAAAGATGCTTTTTTTGATAGGGAAAGTTTGATGGAACTGAATGCTTTTTGTCTCACATGGAGTTTTACATTGTTGCAATCTCAAAAAAATTGTCAAGGCCTTATGCATTACGGTTCTCAAGATACAAACTAAAACAGGTGCTAAAACACAAGATTAGGAGTCTCATTCAAATTTTCCAGAAACTGCAATTAAGTGTATGAATAAAGGTAATAGAAACATGGTTTATTGATATAACAAGTTTCATTTCTGACCCCTCATGAGACTTTTTTGCAACCTTTCCCGTGAAACTGCCCCTTGACAGGCCTACACAAAGCATATGTGTACATGTAGGCCTACAAGGTTGACTTGTAAATTTAATGCAGCACGGGCCCGTTTTATTTAAACTACAATTTCAGTGACACTGGGTACTGCTCAGTACTACTGAGTTGAGATGCAATGTACAGTACATTGTGCAGAATTGTTCCTGAAGTTTTAATAAGGCCCTATAGGCTAGCCTACCGTAGAGCTGTATGAGCCTACACAGAGGGCTGCAAACATGATAAATACCTCCATTTGAAATTTGTCCTATATCTATTACATGTACAGCCCTACTTGGACTCTATGCGAAAACATTTGAAGTTGAAAACTCTAAAATTTGAGACAGTTTTCATGACCCAAAATATTTTTTGAAAATCCAATTTTACATATTTTTTAGTATTTCTGAGAGTTTGGCCATTCATCACATCAAGGTAAACTTTTACCGAAATCAATCATCAAAATACTGACAGTTGGTTTGAGTCACAACAAAACTGACTACTGATAGGGCCTACAGTGCAGTACAGTGAGTGTTGTCAACTCAATTCAGGAGTTTCAGGTCTTTTTACCTTTTTGTAATATTTATAGAAATGTATCATGAAAACTGCGAAAGAATTCCATATGGACACTGCTTGAAATCCTGTGCACAACCCTATGAGACTAATCTTAACAAGTTTAAGTGTTTTCTGAGTGAATCCCTCAATTTTGCACTGTTAAATTTGGCTCTTTAGGACATTTATTGATTTCAGATGGCTAATGGGTCACTGCAGGAGAAAAATTAGTGGCGTCCAAACAGAATTCTTTCCGAGCACTGCATGTTACACAATCATGAAATCATGAAATAGCTGTCAGTATTTTGAAAATGCTAACAGTTAAAACAGGTGCTTTCACAGAGCTCCCTTTAAATTTAGAGGTAAAGGAGTTAGGGTCGTGATTGTATTCATATACAGTTGATCGACCAGACAGGCATTTTCTCACCTGGGCCTTCCACTGCTTGGTGCGTAAAGGAGTCAGGATCAAATGCAATCAAAATTTATCCGTTGATAAATTCACGTACGAAGTTTACTGTTTTGTGGTGGCAATAAATTTCTTTTAAAAGGTAAGTTCCCTTCAAATAGCAGCCTGCACTTAGACTAGTTTGAGGGGTAGTATACCCCCAGAACAGTGGGGTTCTTCATCCGCCATGCTCCTTCCTGAGAGCGTGGTGGACAGCGAACCCCTCAGTTCTGGGGGTAAGGGGCAGGGTCAACATTCTAGCTAAATTTCAGCTCATAAAACCCTCGCCTAATGCCTTTGTAGTGGATGTCAAGTGATGTCAGGAAGAAGAAAGAGGCCTGTGTTGCCTATCCCAAGTCAGGCATGTCAGGGCCTAGTATCGACAGAGGAGTACACAAAGGCCGTGTTTACAGGTCTACAATGTGGCCCGGCTGCTTCAACCATGTCAACTTTCACTTGGCTTTCCTCAAAGTGTTGCTCAACCCTCTTGCTGAAAGAAAATTTCCAATTCATTTGGTTGAATACTGGTACTTTAATATTCAAAATACAGGCTTTTGAGTCTAAATAAATAATTTTAGTGTCATGAAATTTTGTCTGGAATTCGAAAACGGCTGTGATGATGGTGTCCAGACATTGGGCAAGAATTCAGCTGACATGGCCGAGTGTTGCCTAACGTGGCACCCTCAAAAAAATCTCAGAAAACCCCACATAAACACCTACCATAAGAAGTTTTTCAAAGTTAATAAGTTAACTTCTAATTAACGTTGGTGACCGTATAATATGGCAGGCTAGTCGCCAGACCGGACTTAAAAAGGTGGCAAAAATTAGGGACCTGGCAAATACATGGTGATGAATGTTTATTATTACAGAAAGAGTTCCACACATACCTGTTAAAAATGTGTTTATGTGCCTACTTTTTATGTACTAAGGCCTAGGCCTATCATGTTTATGGGAGTTTTGGGCCCTAAATGTATTTAGCATGCTTATGGGAGTTTGTATATTATGAGCATGGAGGAAGGAAAACACAAACCTTACACGTTACAGTTCCGCGTAAAATAGAGATTTTAGAATCAGAAGATTGGGCATTTGATAAAATTTCACTTCTAATGAAAACCAAGGTAAGTATACTTGGGCCTACTGCCTGGCTCCATCAAGTTCACCAACACAAACAAGGCACTTGGGACGAAAATTCGAAGTGCGTCACGTTACCACGCCACGTTTTTACGCTAGCCTAATGGTTTTTGAAATTCGAATGGAGCCGGACTGATCAGGGTACCGATCAAATCTGCCCTGAAAATGCAATTTAGACTGATCCATACCTCTCTTAAACTTCTGACCCATGTTTAAAGACCGTGCAACCAACTATTTTTGAAAAAATCGGAGTCTTTTACTTACCACCCACTTGAATAATTCGAGCCCCGCGGCTTCGCATGCATATGACACTGCGCGTGCGCTGGGCGTTTGATGGCCCCAATCACCGTATCGACTCGACCATTTTTAGAGGCGGGCGGTGGATTGAATTTTTTATTTGTCTTTTTGTTTTAAAACCCGTTTCAGAATTGCCCACTGGAGAAGCCACTCATGCAAATAAAACAAGCAAGTACATCAGCATTCGTATCATCGTATAAATCATGTATGTTTAATCATGGTTTAATTCATAGATTCTGCAATTTAAAGTACAAGGTCAATTCCAAATTTTGTCAAATGGGCTTACAACTAGTGCTATTTGTGAATTCCTTCTTGTTTCTTCATTTACATTTACATACACCTCTGTGTATGTGAAGCACTGAAGTAAGACTTGAAAAAAGAAATGTTACAGGTTTTCCCAGCAAATTTCAGTCGAAAATTCATGCACTTTTTCCTTAATACGGTCTGTCAAAAACTTTCAACTGAAAGGTGAAAAAAAAATCAAACGAAACAAAACTGGGCCACGAAATTGAGGAACGGGCTACGATTTTAACATTAAAACAAACTTGTCTTTTGTCTCCTTGAAAGCATATTATTCACATTGTTTACTTCTGTGAATATACATATTTCATATTAAAATACGAATCAGGAAGTACATACCAAAGACAACCAAAGGGTATTAATCATTTCTCTGTACATTTATTTAAATATTACATATTCACTTGACTTGTTTTTTCTTTCAAAGAAAACCCCAAATTGATGTAACATCAGGAAGCATGTAATGAATTGAAAATGCTGGAATTGAATTCTCAATCAATCTCTTTCCCAGGCTTCCAAAAATTTGAATGAACCCAATGACTAAGTGAATTTGAATCGACTTGTTTAACAAATGACAGCTAAAATAATGAAAACAAAATGACACTTTTGATGTTGGAATGTGAATAAAGAAGGGCATGCAATCTGAAATGAACTGGAATGAAACTAATTTTTTTGGAAACTTTGGCTGGGAAAACCTATATTTTAGACCTGTAAACTAAGATCGTTCATTCTTGAAAGAGCATAATATTATATCAAAGAATGACTGCCTTAAGTGACCTTCTGAATAGCTGAAAATGTTACTTTACTCTGGTGGGACATGATCCAACAGCCTTCCACAGACAAGTACAGATGTCATGACCCATTCATTCACCAAGGCTGGGGGGGGGGTGAGCAGTCAAATTATGTAAGCTGTAATAGCCTATTCAATGGAAAGCTACAGCCAAAAATTCACTCGCAAACGGTTACCTTGGCAACACACCAAGTCATTCTGTCCAGCCCACTTTTCATGCAAGCAACAACTGCATCTCCCAAATGCCACACGTACTGCGTACTCCAGGCACGTATCATACAAAGCGAAGGATGTGAGACTTTGGTCAGACACTGGGTTGCAAAACTGTTTCTGTGGCTATATAAACTGAAACACCACAGATTGTGGTAACGGTCAAACAATGCACCGGTTAGCCAGGGGCCATGTGGTTGAGTCCAGAGCTAGATATCAGAACCAGGTATCCGAGCATGCATTACAGATGATGCCAGAAACTGGTTCTGAATATGGAAGCGGGTACCCACTGCCATGAACAATTTTATAATATGTGGTAACTTTCCAAACAAACAAAATGAAATGCTTTAAAAGGAAAATTTCAAACTGAAAAACTAGACTACTGCATATTTCAAGTTTACTTGTACATCTATGTCCAAGCTTGACGATGAACGACTTGAGTCGGATAGAATTAGAATTTTCAGTCTGAATGCCTATGTTGAACATTGTTTTTTATGCTCTATGCATGTTGGGGTTGGGGTCTTCAGTGGGTTCCCAAGTTTCACCTCAATGGGTACCTATCCGATTTCTGCACAACCCATGAATGTACACCACTCTTTCTGTACTAATGCATTAAGCCAGCATAAAGGGACTACAATCCTTTGATACTCTTGTCTGTCTCTTGAAACTCATCACTGTGACTTAGGATTAATCATTAAGTTAGCCTCAGACAAAGGAAAAACATTTTAGGATGGACTCTTCACAATGACCCTCTCCCAGAATGATTTTGTTGATGCCTTATCAGTCTTTCTTGGCGAGCTGCTTAATACTCTGCTCTTGCTGTCGGCACTTCCTGAGACGAGTATCTTGCCGTCTTATCATGACAGCTATATCTAGTTGAAAAATTGATGCCAAATATAAGACAGGTTTAATACAATCTGGAGACAAATGACATGAAATATATATGCTTCACCATCAGAACAGCATGAATGTCTTTTTGGGAAGAAAGCATGAACGACTTCTAAATTGGCCAAGTGCCCAGTCTTGCCTGTACTTGTTCATACAATTCAGTGCAACTTCAATATCTTGTGGTCAAGTGCTTGTCAGAATCCACTGGCTGAGACAGTCTGAAACCAGACTAGATGTCTATTTGAGCATACATCTGAAAGGTATGCAGTAGCTCCTGGAAATACCTATGTCTAATGATGCCAGAGGCTAGTGGCTATGGCTGTTTGTAATTCCCAGCTGCAAGCCAGTCCATTAAGGCACGGTCTGATATTCGTTTGAGTGAACTCTTAATTTTATTATCAACATGTTACTAATAATTGTCAAACTTACATCAATTTCTATTAATGTTATTTGACCATGATTCCCTAGAATTGTATGAAATAACTATTTCATTGTCAGAACTGTGTAAAAAATGAATCATCTACATGAAACTATACTGACAGTAGTTAGGACAATATACTGGAGCTGCATCAATTCAACGCAAAACACAGGATGCCAAAGTGAACTCTCATTTCATGTTTACCTTTGTTTTCTTTCTGCAGATGTCCACCCATTTTACTCAGTCCCTGCAACTTGTCCTGAAGACGCTTAAGTCGTTCATTTTGGATCCTCAAATCTACACCTTCTTCACCTTCAATAGTACCCAAAAATGGGGCAATATCACTTTTTTGGCTGACAGAAATAGGTTGCTTGCATACAGTTGCTAAATTCATACAGAGTGTGTTATATAGCATAACACTAGAAGAGAGAGACTGGATATGGTTGATTCTCTCTTTAGAATTTCAGAATTGAAAGACTGCTAGAATTATTTTCCAAAAGGTAACTCGCATTTGCTTGTATCTTCGACCATCAGGTGCACGGCTATGCAAAATAAATCTACCAACAGCTGTAATGAAATACAGATTATATTCACATAGGCTTAGTGTGGCCCAAAAATAGTGGAAGGAAAAGACTAGCTATATTCAGTATAAAACTGGTCAACAGCGCACATCACTGACATGGCATCTAAGCTTTATGGTGCTTTTGTATTTAATCTTATTTGCTTTTGGCAATCCAAAGCTATACACGTACCTCAGTAAACGCAAGCACTTTCTAATCTGATCATTAGACCAAAGTGAAATAACCCAGCGCATATTTCACCCTTCCAGTTTGATTTCAAAGGAGATGCTGACAGTGCAAAACCCTGAATTATGTTGCAGAACTTTTTTTCTGACAACTTGCCAAACCCTCAGTTTAGAGTGCCCGTGTTTACTGGAGCATATCTTCAGACCACCAAAAGCAAACAAGCTAAAATAAATTGCATCATCAAGCTACTGAGTCCTCTTTCAAACCTGCAAGTTAAAAATACTTCTAGCTGACATTTTAAATGGACTGAATTTGCTTATGCAATTTTTGGGGGAAGGACACACTGTATGATAAGGAGATTACTAAACCACACAGTGAGGGCCTTTTATGTCACAGAAACTGTGCCTTAATGTGACTGGATACCGAATGGATATTGTGAAAAAGTGAAAGAGCATGTAAATCCAACAGCAATATCTGCAAACATAAAAAGTATCATAAATTGATTCCGGTGCTCTTTGACATGTTTAAATGCAGTTGGGCAAAGACAAATCTGAAGGTTGAGAGAAGTACAATTCGAAAGGTGTTTTCATGAATGAAATTCTATTCTAATTTTTTGCACAATGGGAGGAACTTACTTATTAATGATGACCCAAGATCACCGTGAAAGGTGCTGCCAGCCTTGTCAAAATCAGGACTAAGGTCTGGTGTCCTGTTTCTCTCTGGTGTATCAAACACAGTAACTCTGTGAGAGCCTGACTGATGACTGTTATTGTGAAAGATGTTACTGTGGACGTCCTCAAGCATGTGAGGGCTGACACCCAGCAGGCTAGCGACAGGAGACCGAGGTCTGAGCAGGAAGTCTGGCTCTGGGGTGGTCCGGGGACTGTCCCGTGCCGCTGGAACCGAGGACAGGAGGCTCAAGTCCTCAGTTTTCGGTTCTCGATCTTCCTTCACCGGGGACGAAGTTAACAGTGGTGCTGTCATACCTGGTGAGAGACGTGAGAGAAATTAGACTCTTACTTAAAGTTGTGGCTGCAGCAGATACTGTGAATAATGTGTTGCTATGGTAGCCGCTGTCTAACTGCTGCAGCTGTTTCCTATAGACATGTGTGCTAGGACAAGCCACAGCCAGTTACATCGACTTCAGGTATGACCTTACAATAGGTGCCTGAATTACTCTGATCAGGTCCAAGTGTCTGGGCCTTGATAAGGAAGGGCAACGAAAAGTGAACCAAGGAGTCTATCCTCCCTGTCCAGAGTGGTACCTTTTTGTGGTAGTGTGTTGTCTGCATAACAGTAGGATGTTAGCACCCACACTTTCCTCACGATCATTGTGATCAGCGAGTGTTCCCTTGTATGTCAGTGAAACCAGCGTGCATTTTGCACTAAAAATCTACTGGAATACATAACACTGAGTTGCGGTGCCTACTACATGTATTGGATATTCTAACTTGCACAAAACAAAGCACTGGAGTATACGAATTCCAATGTTCAACCTACCTGGCTTTCCCTGCCTCGTCATGGGTGTCGTGCTGTACCCCGATTCTTTTGTGTTCGTCTCTTTTGGTTCTTGTAATGTGCTGAAAAATTCAAGGTTGAAACAAAAGATTGAAAATTGGTTGATTTTTTCACATGCAAAACAGACTGCACAATAAAGTCATATTTCATCAGGGTATAAAATTGCATCTACAATTACAACACGAGTGTGTCTTGCATGGGTGTTTCAGGCTGAAAATTTTCCTCTTGGGGCGTGGAAAAACTTCACAACAGTTTATGGCCTTCCTTAACCCTAACTGCTAAGACATTTATCCCTATTGCACCACTTCGCACAGTTTGGAGGACCGCATACCTTGAACTTGCCGTCTATACATTGCATTTTAAGTTAACAATAGTCGCTGAAATTAACCATCCTTAATTGTACAAAAGCCTACCTGTTGAGTTTGGTAAAACTGAAATGATTAGGGCGAAAAAACGTATTAGTCACCTTTTATTTATAACTGGACAGGTTGGACTAGCTGATGAATTGGTGGGAGAACTCTCTTTTGTTGACCGATTTGCAGTTCTTGGAATGTTTGGTTGACCAGACACAATGCCGTACATCTCAAGGAGAAGGGACCTCAGTTCTTCATCTGTCAGAAGCTTGGATAATTCTTTTTTAGGCCCTGAACTTGTCCGAGTTTCTTTGATTTGGGAGGTAAGTTTGTCTCTCTCCACTGTAGCAGTGGGAACTATGGCGGTGGAATGCCCCACAGACTGGGGCAAGTCTTTCTGTAAATTCGTCGGACTGGAATGAAGCTTTGTTGTGACGACTTTTGTGCGAGTTTCGTTACTGGCCGATCCTTTTGTGGAATCTGCTTTTGTCTTGTTTGAGAGCTTGTAGTCTCTGACACTGGTTTCCGTGTTGAGTTTCCGTCTGTTTTGGTTCATAACAACAGCGATAGTAGCTCTGTTTGTTGATCTGGTGGTTTGTTGAGGTGGAGACTTTCTTGGACTCAGTTTGGACGGAATACTTGCTGAAGGACTGGGGCGAGTTACTGCTCTCTGGAGTTCCTGATCAGAAAGAATTGGAATTGATGCGAAGATTTACAGGTTAGGAATTTTGGTTAAAGGGAAAACCTGACAAAATGAATTGGATCTGCCCTCTGAAATGAACTTAACTGAAGCAAAACTCTTCTTTCTGAGAGAGAAACAAACATGAAACATATCCTTTACACTGCCCTTGATTATATTGTAGAGCATTCCTAGTTTAAAAACGTCCATGCCATGATGACAGGAAGGCTGGCACTGAAAAATGGGGGATTTACCACTTTGATTCTAAGGCTAGGTCTAAATTACTTGGCTTCAGCTTGAAATGACACATGTGCTTATAGAAGCCTTAGCCCAGTGACTTCATCTACTTGGTATTTCCCATAGGCTCATTTGCAGCCATAGCCATCAATTCGGCTTGACCATGGTAGTAACTGCATTATTTTGCAGTCCGTGGTCGTGTCATGACATATTTCTTTGTCCTTGTCCAAGTCATAAATCAAGGGTAGTTGAATACTTTTAAACTAATATGAACGATGGCAGGAATAAACAATCATAGGAATTACTATCACGTCTTGATAAGGCATAAAAAGAAGTGTAGTTAATTATGTACAAATGTCATAACTCTACACATGTATGTTAACAATGTTTAATCTTTGATTCGATCTGGTACCAACCTTGATCTCCAGCTGGTGCTTGAGTTTCAGCCTCACTATGTCTTGTTCCAGCCTCTCTATGACTGTCCGACATTCACTATGCTTTTTAGAAGCCTAAGAATAAATGTGAGTAGTCCTGACAGTGAAAACCAACTAGTTAAGCTGTACAGCCAGTGTCTATCCCGAAACTCTTTGACAAGTTTATACACCAACAGCTAAGAGTTATATAGGATGAGATCTGCCTCCCCCAAATCATTTGTTTTTTTAGCCTAAAACTCAACCATTGTGGGCTGTATGAGTCAGTTGAGAAAAAGTGGGTTAGTGCATGCAAATAGATATTTCATAATGCCCCCATCACACCCTGATGATGACCAGGAAGACCCCGCTAAGTTGTAAAATTTCATTAAAATGTGGCTAGAAGAGGATGAAAATAGGAATATAGGGTGAAAACCTTTGCTTACAAGATCATACTGGGTGGTCACATGACTTTTGACAAATGTCCTTGGGCGTTACTCTGGGTTTGAATGAAATATTTCAATAAAACAGAGCGTGTTGCAGACTATTTTACTTGTACAACTAGTTTTTGGCCAATGTACTCAAAATTTCATATCAACTATTTTATTATTTATCTTTTCAACTTACGAAAGCTTTAGTGTAAGTTTCTATGAGGACATCACAGTACTGACATAATGAATCAGTCCTCACCTTTTTCAGAGATGCCTCCAATTTAGCTACCACTGAGCTCTGCTCTAACCTCTTGGCATTTTCGTTCTCTTGTTCCTTCACCAAGTTCTCATTGTTCTTGGTCAATTCCGACACCTGGACCTTATAGCGGTCTCGTTCAACAACCAATGCTGATTTCTCCTGATAATTAGGATAGCCAGTAAAAAAGATAATACCATAGGCCAATGTTGTGTTTGAGTCCATCACAAGTCTCTGTAAGTCCATCACAAGTCCGACACAAGTCATTCAGTCTTTAGCCAATTCACAAGCTATTCAAATGAGCTGTGACAAAAGCATCCTTTTGTCATCACCCTGTTACTTATGACTGGCCCAGTGAAGGGACTTGTGAAAGGACTTGTGATGGACTCGAATACAACACTACCATAGGCCATACATCAACACCCTGATGAACGTGCCACTGAGTATGCTTGTCTACTGAGTTACAGGTGCTCAACATAAAGTCATTCGCTTTTCAAAAGTTCCATATAGAGGCTTCTGTAGTGGCCATTTTGCAGGGCAGTTCTTTCGTTCCACCGGGAAACCTCCTTTGTGCATACATGTACCTCATTGAACAAACACAATGGCCTGCAAGATGGCAGCCATGCAAAACCTCTATTAGTGCAAGCACTCACTACTTAAAATAAGCATAATATCTCAAACTAGAACAGGGCCCAGTTTATGGCTCTGATAACCACTCTCTGTTTAAGACAACTGCTCCATGTCACTTGCGAGGAAATTTAGTGTCTTTAGTTGTATCAGCATTTAAACCTCACAGGATAAACACAGGAAAACAAGCCAAAATTACTACTTACTTGAAATACACCATGCACTAGGACAATAGCAGAAACTGTCAACACTGTAAGTATGCATGTTTACAGCTGAGGGCGTATTTTGGCCCACAGAAGCCAATAAGTTCCTCCTTACCTTTCGGAGTACGTCCAGACACTCATTCAACCAGTGAATTTCGCTCTGCAGCATGTCTATCTCACTGCGCTTGGCAGTGACTTGCCTCTGCATGCTCTCAGCAACTCGGACAGCTGCACAGCAAAAGAATGAAGACAGAAGAGAGAATCATAGCCCAAAAAACCCTCCCTGATCATTGATGACGGCTGCCATTTCCCACATTTGCAGCCAGTGGGGACAAAGGGAAGATGTGACCTCTTGTAAGTCCAAATTTTCTTCAATAATTTTTTGGGACTACCTCATTTTTCCTCCACCCAAAAGTGTGTGAAAAGACCCCCAAATTTGCCTCACCTCTAGGGAAAACCACTCAAGTTACATAAAGAAATCCTCATATTTCCTCCATTCCCCCTCAAAAAAAGATTTCGCCCCTACTTAATTTGGTTCTGGATCTGCCCTTGAAGGTGGAATGTTGCGCAAAGCCCCACTGATTGATTTCCCCACCGACCTTTGCCATCTATGGCTGCTGTAGCCTTGATCGTCTTGTGTACAGTCTGTAACTCTCTCTGCAATCCCTGTATCTTGGTCTTGTATCTGCTAACGTCTCGCCGGTGATTCTCTTCCATCTCAAGCAGGTTGGCCTTTAGCTTCTCCCCCTCAACGGACATCAGGTCCATCTGGCGGAGACACAGGGTAAAATTTATCTTTTGAAGCAGACACACTGCTCTTGCTAAATTATCGGACAGGGCAGTAAAACTGAACAACAAATCAAGTCACAATTCTTATACAGTCATGTTTGTCACTGTAAACTTCAAATGAAAGGCAAGCATGTGATGCACTGCTAAAAAAATGATGAATAAATAACCTGGCTAAGCAAAATGCACTGACTTTAGACACAGTAGTTTTTGAACATAGTTGAAAGAGAAAGTGGGGAAAAACTACACAAGGCCAGTTCACTCAGTATGAAAGACGTGCAAGCAAGAATTTGGCAAAATACCTGTGCTATGAATTCATGAAAGTTAAATACATGTCAACTGTGGCGTAATGTCATTGCATATAATTCAGGACAGCAGGTTGGCATTTGTTTTGGTACCAAGTAAAAATTACCCTCAAAGGGGTTGGCTGTGCCTTGTCCATCCAAATTCAGCAGCCACGTGAGCTAGGAACCAAAGATAGCTTAAAATAGACCGATTGCACCCTCTAAGTCGCATGACCTATAGTGGGTATCAAATATCAACAAACACAATGTCCACCAAAGCAAAGTGCTTAAGTATCATTTACCAAAAATAAAGCCGACGGGTACCGTACTCAGACTACTGATATGCTGGGTACTATACCATAACTTGGCTGTATTGTTTATAAGTAACACTTGATACCCACTACAGGTCACATGATTTAGCCGGTGCAATTGGTCTATTATGAACAATTAATATAAGAATGTCTCACAGGATGAGAAAAGTGGACAGAAGTCTTGCTCAATAAAAGTATTCTCTCTTTCCCCAAAATTACACTGTACAGTCACAAACAACATGTGGATCCTGCTCTTTCACTTTGCCAAAGTGCCTGACACCTACCTATCATGTATTACAGTGACTACAGGGCCTAATGAACTCCATGAAGCTGCTTACTGGTTGTTAATGCTTAGGTAATTCATATGTTAAGCAAAAAACTGGTTAAGAACCAGTCAGAAGCAATAAGCGTAATGTGGCTTTTGGGCCTGTAACCTGTTTCTGGTAAGCAGATATTGCTTAGCAATTTTCTGTACTCAGACGCCTCCATGATACATGTATTTGCCTCCCTGGGTACCTGCGTCTTGGCCTCCTGCAGTTCTGCTTTCAGCTCCTCCTTACTCCTGGCGACTGTCTCCGACTCCCTGGCTGTGCCCTGTGCCTCTTCCTGGAGGCGCTTCTTGTCCTCTTCAAGACTCTGCAGTCTCTTCTCGCGGATCTTCAGCTTCTTCTTCAAGTTCTCCTGAAGGAGCTTTGAGTCTTGCAGCTCCTTGGGTGTTGGGGGGAAGGAGGAAAGAGCTGAGATGCAACTAGTCAGGAAGAGTACAGACAGGAGTGCAATATCGACCACTAACACAAATGCTGGTGGTCAACGTCTGAAGACTCCATGTAGAACTATTAGGCAGTATGCGTCCCGTTCAGAGAACCAAAGATGTTAAACCACATACGTCAAGCCCACAAGTTTTTGATTAATTTCCCAACTGATAAAACGTTCCCTTTTCGTTATAACGATGATCAATCAAAAAGCCTGGCAATATGGTGGGCATTGAAAACAGTAAAAATTAAAAGTAACAAATACCCTGTTTGCTTCTTCAGTGGTTTCAATCTAATTGAAGGAATGTGATTGAATAAGTGGTGGATCGTTTCATTGAACCAGAATAATTCTCGGGGTTGGGCTGGCATATTCAGGGATGAAAATAGCCTCATGTGCCTGAAGTACAGACAACTGATTTTCAGCGGAATGTGCAGAATACTAACACCGCTTCATACAAGGATTGAGCGGGACAGTTTTGTATAATACCGACCTCTGTCTGTCTGTCCAGGATTTCCTTCAACTGCGATCGTTCCTCTTTCCAATCCTCGCTGGCTTTCTTGGTGACCTCTGCCAGGTGAGCCATACTGGATGTCTGCTCCTGAAGCCTGCTACACTGCTCCTCCTTTTCGTTCACCTGCACCAAGCAACGCAGCATGAGCAGCTTAATTTACAGTGTGAAAACAATATTTAAATGGATAACACAGAAAGGTCAGGTGGTTCCTCAGAGAAGTTCAAATTGAAGATTTTTCTGCTGGAGGAATTTTAATTACCTTCAAGACCAAATAATTTTTCTGTTGGTAAAACTTGCAGTTTTCAAGACCATTTGTAAAGGTTTTGATTGATTTCTTTACCTACAAGTTTTGTTTATTACACGCATGGTACCATTATTGTCTAGCACATCTTGCTTTCTGCTTGTGACAGAACAAAATCAAAGTCAACTTGTTGAAGTTTTCACAAATCAATGTATCATGCACCTGGGTGACAAATATAACTTTTTCAAAAATTACAAGGTCCCACCTGCACCTGCAGCTGATCCCTTGCACTCTGCACTGTGCCAAGCTCAAGGTTTCTCTCTTCCAGCAGCAAGACAAGGGACTCTCTCTCCCTCCGTATTGCTACCAGCTCCTCCCCCCATTTCTCCAGGTCCGACATCACTCCGGCCTTCTCCTCCGTTACCCTCTGAAGTTCCTGACGGACCTCTGCCAGCGTTCTGGTCAACTCCTCCTTGCATTTCGTGACGTCTTCCAATTCTTGCTCTCTCTGTCTGAGGTCTGCCGTGAGTGTCTCACACCTAAGAGTGATGTCGTTGATCTTTGATGTCATGTCATCTGTCAGAGCCACCATGCGATGCTTACTGCTTTCCTCTATTAACAAGACCTGTCAGATAAATGCAGCTGCCTGTAGTATATAAGGTTTGGAGAGGATCTGTCTGCAGAAGGAATTTTCTTTATTAAAACATATATTAGGCATAATTTTCTCAGGCATACCAATGAGCAACTTTTCCATGGAAATAACACAGAAATAAAATCAACCTTCACTGACAACATGACGACATTCATTTTTTCTCCTACATCTGAACAAAAATAAAAAAACAACTCTTGCAGTGGCATAATACAGGCAGCTCTTTAAGAGTACGTTCATCAGATCTGTTTTATAAATTGTTAACCGTTGGATGGGATGGTATCAGACTATTTTAGAATTCATGTGGGTTCCAAACTTTCCTTTAATTTTTTTTTCCAAATCTGGCGTTAAACACTTAAATATGTGTTATCACGAAGATGAAATTAATGTGACAGGAAATTTCATTTTTATTCTTCCAATGATGCTTTCAACTTCCAAAGTTGAAGAGTTAACCTCACTTTCAATTTCAATATGGTCGACTCAAAAGATAAAGGTCCATTCTCTCACCTTCTCCTCAGCCTGCCTGGTAGATTCCTGCTTGACCTCCTCCACCAGCCTGCCAAGCCCCTCACACTCGCTAGTCTTCCGCTCCAGCTGGCTCTGAAGGTCCTGTAGCTTGATGCCAGACTCCTGCTCCAGGTTGGACAGTTGGCAGTTCTTCGCCTGCAAAGTCTCCGCGTTGGCCTGTGCTAGCGCTGCAGATTCCTGTGAAAGCATCATACAAAGAAATCACCGACTTGAAAATTCCCTATCAAGGCCAACGTGAAAGTTTAAATATGCAGTATGAAAGAAATACAAGTTACACAATTTGGAGTATACGATTTCCAGTCAATATGAAAATTTACCAACTTTACAAAACAAAAGTGGGGTATCTTTAACCCCTTGACGACGGGACTTTTTTCTGAAAGCTGACTCCAAGAATTCCAGCCTCACTTGGCCACAGGGGCCCCCTGCCAAACCACATATTCTCGGTTTGTGGCCCTGCGTGCTTTACACGCTTTGATTTACACAGTGAAAAGGCTCATTGTTCGGTGGCATGCGGTTTATTCACACTTCCACATTCCCGTTGCCTCTTTTCAAAGTGGGGACTATTGTGAAGCTGGTGATTATGATGCAAATTTGGTCTTTTCATTTTTTGGCAACACACAAAGGCCAACCACTAAATATACAAGAGCCAGGGTATGCCTTCTTTCACCGTGTTTGCTCGAGCCTGGGCTGAGAATAATAGCTGAAAAGCGGGCTGAGGGATCTCAATTTTTACAGCGTCTCTTACCACTTTGCAGCGCGAAGGGGTTAATAAAATACCTTCATAGTCAGTACATTTCAGTACTGTTTTAACATTACGCCAGATAACTGAGAAATCCTACCTTTGCATCATGTAGTTGTTGTTCAAGCTTTTGTATTTGATCGTGTAGTTGATTCTTTACCTCTAAAGAGGCTCTGTACTGCTGCTGAAGTATTTCTAGGTCAGATGACAGAGTGTCACACTGACAAAATTCAGAAAAGCAAGTAAGAAAAGTACACAAATGACTACGCAAGCAAACGTCAATCAAAATCATATTCTGGGCAAGGGTTGTGAGAGATGAAGCCACAACACTTGGATCGTTGTACGGCTTCAACTGATATGAAATTATTGGCAACACTTTATCATGACTGACACATATACATGTTGGGATGAAGACAGAAAAGTTGGATCAAGATCAACTCTGCAAACTGTCTGCGGCGAGATGCAAAAGTAGGCCCATACAAACACGAGCACTGGCCCAAAGAACATGCAGCGATGTCCCCCTTGGGAACATGAAACTAGGTTCGGAAGAAAGTGCCACATTCTCTATGTTAGGTGAATTTAACTGGCAGAAACACTGAGAAATGACACCAAACCACGTATTTCTGGCTTAATTTCCTCTCCTTTGAGCTGAGATTACTGCATGCTAAGTTTTATAAAACACCCTCTGTTATCATCCCCTAATGGTTACAATACTTGGAGGACTACCCCAGTTTTAAGGACAATGACAGAATTCATCAGGATCTACCTTTGTCTGAAGTGCTTTCCTGTCGCTTGCTGCGTCCTCTTGTAGTTTTTCCAGTCTTTGCTGTAGTTCTGTTATTTGGTCTGCCTTCCCTCCCAACTGCTTCTGCGCCTGCTCCCTGCAGGACAATGGGAAAAAATCCTCTCAGTCTGAGGTTGCAGTCAAGTGTATTACTCTTGATACAAGCAGGTGTAGGAAAATCTGGCATGCGTACTCTCAGATCACTTCGGGTGAATGATCAATGGTTATCTTTGTGTCATCCTGAAATAACCACGTGATGAAAGAGTAACACTCCTGACCTGTTTGAGAGCTTACTCTTACTTAACTCTTGCTTAGCCCACAGGTTGTTAATCCTGCCGTTCATTGCTCTTGGGAATGTACATGTGTTAGTGCGAGTACCTCAGTGGCTGAGTTTGGAAAACAGCAAGTGTATCAGTGACAGGGGTCACTGTAACTGCAGGAGCTATGTTGTGTTGGCCTTCTAAAAACACCGTGTCACCAAACATCATTCGTCTACTTACTGCGTCAGGGCTAGCTGCGACTGCAAACTGAGCGTCTGTTTCCGAGCATTTTGAGCCCGTTCAGTTGCCGCATTCAGTTGCTTTTCGTGCTCTTCGCGCAGGCTACGCAACCTGGAAAAAAACACAAGCAGACAGAACCCTTTTTTCCTGGAATTTCAAGGCTGTGCTAGCAACATTAAGTGAAAGTATGACAGGGGAACTATATTCATCAGTGGCTCCGTTCCTAAAATGTTCGTCAACTTGTTGTTAAACATGAACTTAAAATCACCCACTGAACATTATTAACAGGATTTCAAAGTAATTTTTGACAAGGAAATGTGATGAATTTCACACTCCGACATACTGAAAAAAGTCCATTTGTGATTCACGTAGACAGAAACCTTAATAGACAGAAATCCAGGTGAAGAAACCAAATTTTATGCTTCAAGAGATTAGACTGAACAAACAAGAAGTAATTAAAACCCTGCCTAATTACCCCAAAAACTTCTCTGACAAAAAAGGTCAGAAAAATAAAAGAAAGCAGAAGTTTTAGACAGATTTTGAAGAAAGAGGTAGAGGCCCTGCTCCTGTCATGTTACATTAAAATTGACTGATGTTACTTGAAACTTTGGGTGCAAACAGTATGTGACTGTTTCTCACAAATAGAGGATTATGGAACATTTAGGAAGGATTTCAGTAAGAATGGGAAGTTAAAGTTAGGCTGCATTGGAATATTGTCTGGAGCAACATGTAGGTCTTGGTCTCAGCCCATTGGAAACATATGGGCATATGCTGACAACAGACATAGCCATAGGTCTTGAAGCTACAGTGGACACAGATTTTTTTATAACTTGATACTATTCTGCTATGTCTAAAAACTATTTCACAGCCCTTTAGGGTTAAGAGATTGATGTGTTTTGAAAAGTGCCCTTTTAAAAACTGTTTGGAATTGTCACTGTTTTTGTCAGACAATGAGGGCACTGCTGCTTTGACGTCAGTCAGGGAAGGCACTTTTCATTTTTGCCATAAGGTTGAAAATTCATGGACAAAGATAAACAAGATGCACCTTTGAGAACACAGAGAGTGTAGAGGTGAGTCAGTCAACTAGCAGATGGTCATTAAAAGCAGTTGGCCCATTGATAACACTAGGTCCAAGTTCCTTGGGATGTGAGGGCCGAGGATAATGCTCCCACACATTGACTTTTTTCAAGGAATATTTCTTTGAAATCGGGGGGTGAAACCTTCATAAGAAAATGAGATGAGTCACTGGCTTACATCAGTTAGATGTATTTTGATTGGTCAAAAGATTTAGTCATTAATCAAGAACAGGGTGATGTAATTTTCAGTATTATAATTGGTCAATTGTATTTAGCAATCAAGTCAGAGGGTACCTTGGTAATCTTTTAGATTATATGAAAATGAATGTTTTGTTGAGACATTGAGAAGGAACTGTAGCAACAGAGAGTTTGCATCTGATGAGACAAGTATTCAATGCTTTAATCCTGTAAAGTATTTTCACATGAAGAAAATACTTGTGTTTGTAAAGTATTTTGCTATGGTGAAATAATTGTAATCAAACAGGAAGATTTTCCTCACCAGCTCCCTGTTTGACTGTGAGAAGCTTTGCTCATGTATTCGAAATAAAGATACTTTCAATGTGATGTTCTTGACCAAGTTTCATTCCTCACTGTCACCATCTTTTTGAGATTGTCTGTGTTGATGCTGCTGAGGACAGTCAGTCTAGTTTGGTTCACTGAGCAGGTGCTGAACCTCAAAATCAGAGCTCTTGTTAAGAGCCACAGACAACATTGTCACATGGAGGCAGCATCAGGAGAGAAAGCCACCTGCACATAAAAGCACATGTGACGTACATGTATAGTGCCAATCAAAGTCGGCGGAGTTAAAGAAACTGAAAACAGGCAATTCACAATAGTGAGATCTGAGAGCGGGAAGAGGACCAGGAGCATTAAGACACTTGAGATCAAGAGACGAGTCAGCTAAAGTTGGTGTGACTACCGAAGGTGACAGGCAGACTAGAAAAGAGGAGAAAGAACTAATCCCAGGCTGAGCCAGTGAGGATACAGGTAACAAGTCCTGGAGGGACAATCTCAGGAGCTGCTGAGAGAGAGAGAGAGAGAGAGAGAGAGAGAGAGAGAGAGAGAGAGAGAGAGAGAGAGCCAGGTACTGAAGACTATGTGACAACGGTTCACTGATACAGTGAAAACTCATTCTCATTGCAAGTGTGTGCAAACTGACAACATTGAGTTAATTGTACATGGTAAGTTCATGTAGTGTATGTAGTGCTTTCAACATATCAATTGTTTAATGTGTATATGAATACATGTAATTCTAGGGATAGAATTAAAACTAGACTGTGCTCAAGGTCTATGATGGCTCGATCTGATAATGATGAAGAGCTGAGCTGACATATGCTCAAAGAAATAAATTGTCAAATAACCAGTCCAATTAGCAACTTCATCAGTTGGCATTAGAAAAGATCAAAATGCTACAGAAAGAGCACGAGTTTGAAATTCAAAGATTGATGGTTTAAAACACAGAAAGGAGAGGAGGAATATTGACATTGTAAATTATGAAATAGATTTGGGCAGAAAGAAAAACATCGTGTGCCATTTGAACATGTTACAAGGATGGGTAGATTGTCACAGTTATTATGTACAGTTAGAGGAATGGGATCAGAAAGCACACATGTAGGACACAGTGAAACTAGTGAAGGAGAAATTGATGGAGAAAATCTGAGTGACACACGCCCATTAGGTGGGACCGAAATGTGAGAGTAAGCTAAAATATCTGAGGAGCTGAATGATCATCAGACAGATGAGATGAAGAAACTGCTTTCAGAACATCCTGAGACAATGACAGTTGTACTGGCAAGAACGGATGTAGTGAAACATACGGTGCATACAACGTCAGCAATGCTGATAGGGCATATTAAGTTCCAACAGCCACGAGAGAGACAGTCCAAAATTAAATTGGAAAGATGTTTGCTTTAGGAATCTAGAGCCCTCCAGAAGTCCATGGGCATCACTAATGTGGGCGTTTCACAACTGCACCTCCAAGAGTTTGCAACATGATGGCCAATCACAATGTGCGAAATCTGTCGACCCAATGTGCGTTTGGAAATGGTCGACAGATTTCGCGCTTTGTGATTGGCCATCATGTTGCAAACTCTTGGAGGTGCACTGTTGTGAATTGCCTGTATTGTTACTGAAGACAAAAAAAGGATGAACAGTTAGGTTCTGCACAGATTCCTGCAAACGTCTCCCAATCACTGAGTTTGATGCAGAGCCTGTTCCATGGACTGACAAATTGATAGACGAGACTGGGAATGCTAAGTGTATGTCCACTATTGATCTTACTGAGGGATATTGGCAAGTAGTGCTTGATGAGGGAGGTCAGCACTTGCTGTTCGGTATAGAGTGATGCCATTGGGAATGCAAAATGTGCCAGCAACACTCAGATGATGCTGGATGTGAGACATTTGTTTGTGTGCAGGTGATTGTAAGTGAAACATGGGCGGACAATATGACCCATGCTAGGTCAGTGTTGACAGGCTCAGGCAAACAGGCTTGACAGAAAAACCAAGTAAATGTAAATCTGAGAACCACAAGATCTTGTCGGCAATGGCAAAGTGACTGATCTAACTGATCTAACAAAGAAAACTGCACCAATCAATGTAATGTGGAATGACGCATGTGAATATGCCTTCCAGCTGTTGAAGCAAACAACGGTGAGTGTACCTCTTGTGAAAAGCCAAGATTCTTCAAAAGATTGAGTGCTACAGATGCATCAAATAGGACTGTATGCTGTCCTTAGCCAGAGAGGAAAAGATGGGAAAGAAGATTCACAAGTATTTATACAGCAGGCCTTTCACTATTCAGACAGGGCACAAACCCCTCACTTGGCTAGAACAAATGAAGGACGGTAATCACAGACTAGTAGGATGGTCATTGTTGTTACTACCATGCAAGATCAGTGTTGACCATGAACCAGGTACCAACAACAATGCAGATGCACTATTTATCACATCAAAGTAAGCTGGAAGATATAAATAATGATTTTCCAAGTAAGAGTACATGTAGATTAGAATACTGTTTGAAATAGCTGTTTCTGATGATTGATGTTTACACTGTAGCTCTAGAGTTTATAAAACCTTATTGTAATTGTTACAATTTCACATGTTTTGCTGTTAGAATTGTGAAAATAGAATTTACTCACTGTAAACACTTCTGAGATAGGGTTGCTCACCTGTTTCACTGTGCACTTAAAAATAATGAATCATCAAAGAAAAAGCACATCAACCCAACCTAAAAGTAGCAAAGGCATTTTCTTGGGGGGGGGGTGCCAGAGTCAATTTGCCAACACCCCCCCCCCAAAATAATTCACTCCAGGTGGCAAATAGAGCTTTGGTTGAATCCAAACGTGATACATCAATGATATATATTGGCCATCGACATTTCTCCTGAAGCATGAAATGTAGCATAGTGCAGATTTCCATTTTACATGACACGGGGTTGGCAAACAAGTTGCAAGTTGGCAAAGTGACTCTGGCACATCACCCTCCCTCCAAAGAAAATGCCTTCGCTACTCCCCTGGATTCAAATTACCTACGTAGAAAACAGTTTGACATCAATTTTAACGATATATCCCTCATCAAATTACACAGGTCGGGTGTAACAGGGACAGAAATAAACCACACATCAGACCCAAATTTATAGAACGACCCAAAGACTTTTCCATAACATACATCTGCTTCTGCTCTTCCCCATTCTGTTTCCACCTTGCGGCAAATTGCTCCTTCGCCTCCATCAATCCAAGCTCCGCCTTCCCCACCTTCTGCCTCATCCCTTCTAGCTCCTTCTCATAGTGCTCCAGCACTTCCTTCAGTGAGCCCACCACCTGCTCTGAATCCACGGGGCCGGAGTAGGTTGTTCTGTGCACCAGAGTGAGCCCTCTCTTGGTAGCATGGCTGACAGTGAGGCTGGCAGCCTGGGCCAAGGCAGCACTGCAGGCTTGCAGTTCCATGTGAAGGCTGGACACCCTCAGACTTGCATCTTGTAGAACCTTTTAGAAGCACATTTATCACACACCTACTTGATTTGGCACATTAAAGGGTCCACACAATGAATTTTCCTTAGACACACTTTCAGTGTATGAAAACTGTCTGACATCCTTTGGGGGTGTACTGAAAAGTGCACATTTTTAAAGATTTGAACTTGTTTAAACTTTTCTAAACAACTTACGGCACTGTTGCCGTAATGTCGATCAGGGAAAACAATGTTAATTTTATGTTTTTTTATTCCAATTTTGAACACAAAATTTACTCCTTGAAACATTTTTAAGAAAGAGTTGGTCGTTGGCCGATTACCATGTACCTGCAGAACAATAAATCATCAAATAAAAGGACATTTTGGATGGCAAAAATATCAAACATTCCATCTTTTTTTCAGAAATCATGAGTTCTGTTCACGAGTGTGGATATTTGCAATTAACATAAAAACCCAAAAGATGGCAAGGTACCCTTTAAAATGGCAACACAAAAAATTGAAAGTAATTGAAACGAAAGGTGCATTTTCAAGGGTTGAATTAAAAAAAATCTGCACTGCGTGGATTCTCTAACCCTAACAATCCCAGATCCTTCAAAATCCATCTGGTGGTTTATGCTTGATTTTTCCTTGATTGATGGAAGTAGAACCCTTCTCTATTACTCAACATGCATAAAAGGGGTCAATGTCTTTAACGTTTACCTTAGAAGGACTGCCATTGGCCATTTGAGGTATGGCGGACACAATAGGAGGGCGCTATTTGGTCGGGATAAAATCTTTTATGTTTACTCTAAATTTACACACTTCAAATAGCGCCCTCCTACATGCATTGTGTCTGCCACGCTGCTAACAGGTTAATTGGTTTCCAACAGTGAGGAGTATTGTGGAGGATGCAGAATGGTTCACTGCAAAGTTACAATCGATGCAGATGTTCTCATTGCCATGACTAGAATGGACGCACCAAGATTTACCTGTGTCTGTTGTTGGTTACTTGTTTCAACGTCAGCGAACGTTTCCTGGAGCTGGTTGATGAGTTTTTCTTGGCTCTCCGCCTCCTTACGTCTGTGGAGAGTTCAAGTAAGGAGGCCAACTAAGTCATGACGGAGAGTTTAGGGAAGGCTCCAACACATTACTAAAGATGCGTAAGTCACCCAAGGAGCAAAATTGCATGACATGTAATACCTGGGTGCACACTTTTTCTGTTTCTGTGGTTGAACCCCAAAAGGCGAAAATCGGACAATGGATCTATTTGAGTTTAAAACTGGGAAAAAAAAACCAAGCTAAAGTAGTGACTTGACTGAGGCCCCAGCTCTAGATTAGATTTTACTTTTGTCTTCAATATAAAGTCCTCACATGGTTGTAGACTAAATTGCAGTCCTAGTAATTCCAGACTCGCGGGGGTCAGACACAAGTCCAAGACAATGTCAACATTGTAAAAAAAAAGGACTCTAAAGTCCAAGTCTACATTTGAGCAATGGTTCGAATCAACTCAAGCTCCATTCCATTCTCGAGTTTCTAGTCTTATTTGTCCACAATCTTGGCCTCGGATTTGGATCATGCATGATCTTACTACTTGCCTGAGTTCAAGAACTGAGTTCCTACCAACGATGGTGTCATTCAGTTTGGTCTGCAGGTCCACGATAGCTGTCCGAAAGTGAAGCTTCTGCTTCTCACAGATATCATTACACTGTGCACAAATTGACAGTTATCAAGTCAATAAAGCCAAGATTGATAAGTTAGGAGGAATTAGACAAATGGGTTGAGTGACAGCAGAGGACGCTGTATGAGGATGCATGCTGTGAGAACATTGGGAAATGTTTAATGATAGATCTAAAGAGCATTTGAAGGACATCCTTTTGCCGTGCTATGAAATGCAGTCTAAAATCCTCTGATTCGCTGGAAAGTGATCATAAGACAAGTCAATTGAAGGCAGAGCAGGAAAATGAGGAAAAATGTTGGTGGGTCGAGGGAAAAAACTGCAACCAATCAGAGACTGACAAAGAATCCAAGAGTTGCATTTGGCCACAGTAGTGGTAGTAGGAAGAGGGGCTTGACGTGGCATCGCATGGCCACTAGGTGACCGTGGCGACCAACTTTCAGTAGGCCTGCTGGCTTTTTCCCCTAGTAGGTTCAACCAAGCTTGTCAAGTCAATAGGGCAGTGGTCAGAACAGCTGCAACTCATCTCACCAAGTTGGGGTGGGGATGCGGGCAAGCAACCCGACCTTGTAAAAATTTGTCTCGCTTTGAATGCCTACTCTGACATAAATCTTTCTGGGTCGCCTGACCAATGCAATCCAGCTCAACATGCTCAACATATGCAGCAAGGTATGAGACGGAG